GGGGGTAGGAGCAGGGGAGGGGGGAAGCTGCCCCTGGGAGGATCTTTCCTGCTTCCCCTGGAGCTCCAGAGCCCCCCGTGGTCGGGCAGGGCTTGGTGACCGTCCCCAGCTGGTGCCAACAACTCACCCACTTTGAGGAAGGTCTTGAGTTCCAGGGGTCGGATGGGCTGTTGTTTTTCGGGGTGCCCATAATTTGGGGGGACACTCTCCACCTCCACCCGGGGACACTGGAAAGGTTCGTAGCTCCCGTCGCGGTTCTGGACGAAGCTCCGGGTGATCTCCAGGGGCAGCTGTGGGCAAAGAGGGGAGCAGGAGGGTGAGGGAGGGAACTGGGGGGGTTCTGGGGAGGTCTGGGGGTGCCCCCCAACTTTACCTCGGGGGTGTCAAAGATCTGCTTGACCTGCAGGATGTTGGTGATGTGCCAGGTGTACTTGGAGAAGGTGCCCAGGGGCAGCGCGTCCTTGCGGACAAAGGCTGCAGGGAGGGAGAGGAGGAGAAGGGTTAACTAGTACTTGAGAGCTGCTACTAAACCTTCACTAACTAACTAGTAAGTAAACCAAGCACTGGTTTATTCCTGTTCCCTGAACTGGTTTATTCCTGCTCCCTGGACTGGGTTTGTTCAGGGAGGGAGAGGAGGAGAAGGGTTAACTAGTACTTGAGGGCTGCTACTAAACCTTCACTAACTAACTAGTAAGTAAACCAAGCACTGGTTTATTCCTGTTCCCTGAACTGGTTTATTCCTGCTCCCTGGACTGGGTTTGTTCAGGGAGGGAGAGGAGGAGAAGGGTTAACTAGTACTTGAGGGCTGCTACTAAACCTTCACTAACTAACTCCTAAGTAAACCAAGCACTGTTTTATTTCTGTTCCCTGAACCGGTTTATTCCTGCCCTGGACTGGTTTATTCCTGCTCCCCGGACTGGTTTGTTCCTGCTCTGAACTGGGTTTGTTCAGGGAGGGAGAGAAGGAGGAGGGTTAACTAGTACTTGAGGGCTGCTACTAAACCTTCACTAACTAATAAGTAAACCAAGCACTGGTTTATTTCTGCTCACTTGACTGGGTTTATTCCTGCAGCCTGAACTGGTTTATTCCTGCTCTGGACTGGTTTGTTCCTGCTCTGAACTGGGTTTGTTCAGGAAGGGAGAGTAGAAGGGTTAACTAGTACTTGAGAGCTGCTACTAAACCTTCACTAACTTAGTAATAAGTAAACCAAGCACTGGTTTATTCCTGTTCCCTGGACTGGTTTATTCCTGCAGCCTGAACTGGCTTATTCCTGCTCTGGACTGGTTTATTCCTGCTCTGAACTGGTTTATTCCTGCTCCCTGATCTGGTTTATTCCTGCAGCCTGAACTGGTTTATTCCTGCTCCCTGGACTCCCACTGCTCTGCTGAAGGCTGGGAACTGGTTCCCAGTGGCCCAGACTGGGCTGCCATCCCTTCCCTGCTGTCCCAGGGCTTCATGTGTCCCCCTGAGCTCCTGCTCCCAGTCCCAACTCCAGTGTCCCCCAGTTGGCTGCAGGGAGGGGAGGAGCTGCTGGAAGTTGGGATGGAGGGAGGAAGGTTCTTGCTGGGTTCTCCTGCCTCCCCCCATGTCCTCCTGACCTGCAGTGGAGTTGGGCAACCTCTTCTTACTGGTGCCACTGGAGATCCTCTGCTGCAGGGCCTCAAAGAACTCCTGGGGGATGTGGAACACCAGGGGCTCAGGGTGGCCTGGAGGGCAACAGGAGGAGCTGGGCTGAGGGCAGGGAGAGGTTGTTCCAACAACTCCAGCCTGGAATGTCCCCACTCCTGCCACCCCTGCAGCTGCTTGGGAAACACTTCCCAGGATCTGCTGGTGGGTCCCATCATGGGATGGGTGGGAAGGGATCTAGGAGATCATTAGACCCAACCTTCATGGGCAGGGACACCTCCCACCAGCCCAGGCTGCTCCAAGCCCCATCCAACCTGCCCTTCAACACCCCCAGGGATGGGGCAGCCACAGCTTCCCTGCCCAACCTGGGCCAGGCTCTCACCACCCTCACAGCACAGAATTTCCTCCTCATGTCCAACCTCCATCTCCCTCTCCCAGTTTTCATCCCTCCCCCTCATCCCATCCCTCCCTGCCCTTGTCCCAAGTCCCTCCCCAGCTTTCCTGGAGCCCCTTCAGGCACTGGAATCTGCTCTAAGGTCTCCCTGGAGCCTTCTCTTCTCATAGAATCATGGACTGGTTTGGATTGGAAGGGACCTTCAAGATCATCCAGTCCCAACCCCTGCATGGGCAGGGACACCTCCCAGCAGCCCAGGCTGCTCCAAGCCCCATCCAACCTGCCCTTCAACACCCCCAGGGATGGGGAGGTGTTTCCTTTCCCTGCAGGTGACAACCCAGGTTCTCCTGGTCACCCTTTGGGTCTCCATCTGCCTTGTCCTGGTGGGGCTCAGCCCCTCCAGGTCTCTGCTCCCCATGGTTGTGCTTCTCCTGCAGTGACTCCTCCAGAACCACAAGCTCATTTGGGTTGGGAGTGGAACATTCCACATCTCCAAGCCCTGATCCCACCACACTTTGTCTCCTCCCACTTCCATGTCCAATCCCAACATCAATAATAACCCTGGGGAGGAATTTTCCCCTTCCCAAACTCCAACCCTGGGCAGCTGAGAAGTCCAGGATGAGGAACCTCCCAGGACAAAGGAACCTTTGGGATTATTTGCTAATGAATTGGGATTTAATGGTGCCAAAAGAGAGAGGGAATGGTCCAGGACTTACCCTCAAACTGGTAATGCATGGTCTGGTGGATACGCTCGGTGACACTGGCCAACCAGTCCTGGAAGGACAGGGACACCTGGGACTCATCCAGCAGCTGGGGACATCCTGGAGGGGGCAGGAACCCGGCTCAGAATCCACATGGACACTCAAGGGAACTGCAGTGCCAAGTTGGACCGGCAGGAGGAAACGAGTCCCATGGGGACAAACACCTCTAAGCAGCTCAGCACCTCCAAGAACACCTCTCAAAACACCTCTGACCTCCTCAACACCTCTAAAAATACATCTAACCACCTTAACATCTGCAAAAACACCTCTAAAAACAGCTCTAAAAACACCTCAACACCCCTAAAAACAGCTTTAAAAACACCTCAACACTTCTAAAAACACCTCTAAAAACACCTCAACACCTCTAAAACCACCTCTAACCACCTCAACACCTCTAAAGACACCTCTACCCACCTCAACATCTCCAAAAACACCTCTAAAACCACCTCTAACCACCTCAACACCTCTCAAAACACCTCTAAAAACACCTCAACACCTCTAAAGACACCTCTAGGAACACCTCAACACCTCTAAAAATACCTCTAACCACCTAAACATCTCTAAAAACACCTCTAACCAACTCTAAAATCACCTCTAACCACCTCAACACCTCTAAAAACACCTCTAGACAAACACTTCAACACCTCCAGGCACCCCTGAACACCTCAAGGCCCCTAAACAAACGCCTCTGAACACCTAGAGACACCTGAAGACTCCAAAAAGCACCTCAACACCTCTAAAAATACCTCTAACCACCTCAACATCTGCAAAAACACCCCTAAAAACAGCTCTAAAAACACCTCAACACCTCTAAAAACAGCTTTAAAAACACTTCAACACCTCTAAAAACACCTCTAAAAACACCTCAACACCTCTAAAACCACCTCTAACCACCTCAACATCTCTCAAAACACCTCTAAAAACACCTCAACACCTCAAAAACCACCTCAGCACCTCCAAACACCCACCTGTGAACATCTAAAGACCCCTAAAGGCACCTCAAAACCTCTATAAACAACTCCAGACAAACCCCTCAGCACCTCTAAACACCTTAAGAACACCTGAAGATCCCTGTCCAGGGTCTCCCTGGTGGGGTCCTGGGGGGGCTCCTGGGGCTCACCTTGTCTCCTGAGGGCAGAGGTGACAGTTGGTTTCTTCAGGCTGCTCCTCCTGGGGTGGCTGTGGGTGGGATCTGGAGCCAGGAGGGGGTTGGTGGGTTGTGCTCCTGAGGGGACATTTCCAACAGCATCAGTGAAGCAGGGGAGGGACTGGGGGGTCTGCTCTGCCCTGGTGAGGTCCCCTCTGGAGAACTGGGTCCTGTTCTGGGCTGCCCAGTTGCTGAAGGCCAAGGAGCTACTGGAGAGGCCAGGGCAGGGCCACAGAGATGCTGAGGGGCTGGAGCATCTGCCTGTGAGGAAAGGCTGGGAGAGCTGGGGCTGCTCAGCTGGAGAAGAGGAGCCTGAGGGGGGATCTCCTCAGTGCTGATCAATGTCTCCAGGGAGTGTGAGGAGGGGGGACCAGGCTCTGCTCAGGGGTGCCCAGGGCCAGGAGAAGGGGCCATGGGCAGGATCTGGAAGGTGGGAAGTTCCATCTGAAGCTGAGGAGGAACTTGTTGGCTGTGAGGGTGGCAGAGCCCTGGGCCAGGCTGCCCAGAGAGGCTGTGGAGGCTCCTTCTCTGGAGACATCCCAACCCCAGCTGGAGGTGTTCCTGTGGGACCTGCTGGAGGTGACCCTGCTCTGGCAGGGGTGGGGTGGATGATCTCCAGAGGTCCTTTCCCACCCCTCCATTCTCTCTCCCTCCACCTTCACACCCCCCCCGATCACTAAAAGAGGAGCAGCCACCCAGAACCTCCCCAGACACTCCCACCAACACCAGGGGTGGCTGGTGGCAAGTCCAGCAGGACGTGGCTGTGCCAGCCAGGACAGGGACTTTGACTCCACCTCCCACCCATGGACATTCACCAGGACCCCCCAAAATCTCACAGGCACTCACCAGACCCCCCCATGTCCTTCTTCCTCTTCCTGGGCCTGGCAGGAGCTGCCCCCCCTTCCTGCCCCACCAGTTGGGGGACCTCTGGCCCCCTCAGACCTGGGAGAAACCAACCTCTGGCCTTAAAAGCACCTCAACCACCTGGGGGGCCCCCAGAGAAGTCCTCCCAGCCCTGCAGACACCCCTTATTTTTTGGGGGGGGGACACATGGAGGTGAGAGGGGTTTTCATTTCCTCCCATCACCCAAGTGATAGATTTGCCACCCTTGGGTGCCTCAAGGTGGGGGGGGGGGAATGTAGGGGCCG